AAATAAATAAAATCTTAAAAAAAAAAGTAGAATTCAGTGATTCATCACTCACATACAACACTCAGTGTTCATCATAAGTGCCCTTCTGAATACCCATCCCCCATCTAGCCCATCCCCCCCACCTCCCCTCCATCAACCCTCAGTTTGTTCTGTATCATTAAGAGTCTCTTATGGTTTGTTTCCCTCTCTCCTTTTTTTCCCCCTTCCCATATGTTCATCTGTTTTTTTTCTTAAATTGCACATATGAATCAGATCATATGATATTTGTCTTTCTCTGACTAATTTCATTTAGCATAATACACTCTAGCTCCATCCACATCATTGCAAGTGGCAAGATTTTTTCTTTTTCTTTTCTTTTCTTTTTTTTAAGAGAGGGAGAGGGAGGTGGGAGAAAGGGCAGAGGGTGAGGGAGAGAGAGAATCTTAAGCAAGTTCCACACCCAGCACAGAAACTGATATGGGGCTTGATCTCATGACCCTGAGATCATGACCTGAGCTGAAATTAAGAGTCAATCACTTAACCAGCTGAGCCACACAGGTGCCCCCAAGATTTCATTCTTTTTAATGGCCGAGTAATATTCCATTGTGTGTTTTTATCCATTCATCAGTCAATGGATGTTTGGGCTCTCTCCATAATTTGGCTATTGTTGATAATGCTGCTGTAAACATCAGGGTGCATGTACCCCTTTGAATCTGTATTTTTGTATACTTTGTGTGAATACCTAGTAGTGCAATTGCTGGATCATAGAGTAGTTCTATTTTAACTTCTTTTTTTTTTTAATTTTATTTATTTATTTATTTATTTATTTATTTATTTATTTATTTATTTATTTGACAGAGAGAAAGACAGCGAGAGAGGGAACACAAGCAGAGGGAGTGGGAGAGGGAGAAACAGGCTCCCCGCTAAGCAGGGAGCCCGATGTGGGGCTTGATCCCAGAACCCTGGGATCATGACCTGAGCCGAAGGCAGACACTTAACGACTGAGCCACCCAGGCGCCCCTAATTACAGCTTCGTGGTTCCACTGGGACTATTTTAACTTTTTGAGGAAACTCCATACTGTTCTCCAGAGTGGCATTCCCACCAACAGTGCAAGAGGGTTCCCCTTTCTCTGCATCCTCACCAACACCTGTTGTTTCTTCTGTTGTTAATTTTAGTCGTTCTGACAGGTGTGAGGTGGTATCTCATTGTGGTTTTGATTTGTATTTCCCTGATGATGAGCGTTGTTGAGGATCTTTTCATGAGTCTGTTAGCCATCTGGATGTCTTCTTTAGAAAAGTATCTATTCGTGTCTTGAATTTGAATCTTATTACTTTCGGGGTGCCTGAGTGGCTCAGTTGGTTAAGTGTCTGACTCTTGGTTTCAGCTCAGGTCATGATCAGGGTTGTGGGATGGAACCCTGAGTTGGGCTCTTTGCTCAGTGCAGAGCCTGCTTGAGATTCTCTCCCTTTCCCTCTGCCCCTCCCTGCCACTCACATGCATGTACTCTCTCTCTTTCTCAAATAGATAGATAGATAGATAGATAGATAGATAAATATTTTTTGAAAAATGAATCTTACTACTTTTGCTGAATTTATTAGTTCTAACAGGTGTGTGTATGTGTGTGTGTGTGTGTGTAATCCTTAGGGTTTTCTACATGTAAGATCATATCATCTGGGAACAGATAATTTACTATTTTTTCCAATACAGATGCCTTTTGTTTTTCTCATCTAACTGCTCTGGTTAGAACTTCCAATACAATGTTGAGTAAAAATGGTAAAAGCAGGCATCCTTATCTTCTTGATCTTAAAGAGCCTTCAGTCTTTCATCATGAATATGATGTAAGTTGTGGGTTTTTCATAAATGAAATGTCTTTTATCAAATTGGTAGTTTTTTGAGAAGGGTTTTTTTTGAGAGTTTTTTTTTTTTCTTAATCATGAAAAGGTATTGGATTGTTTCAAATGCTTTTTCTGCCCCCCCCCCCCCCCGCCTTTATTTTACTTTGATTTTCAGATGCTGAATCAGCCTTGTGTTTCTGGAATAAATTCCACTTTGTCATGTTGTATAATCTGATTAATATGCTGGTGGAAAAAAATATGCTGGTGGATTTGGTTTGCTAAATTTTTTTTGAGGATTTTTTTGCATCTATATTCATGAAAAATGTTGGCTTGTTGTTTATTTTACTTGTGATGTCTTTGTCTGGCTTTGGTATCAAGGCAGTGTGAGAATGAGGTAGCAAGTATTCCCTCCTCTTCAATTTTTTGGAAAAATTTGAGAAGCATTGATATCCTTCTTTAAATGTTTAGAATTCACCATGAAGCCATCAAGTTCAGGGTTTTTCTTTGTCCTAGAGGCTTTTGATTACTGATTCAGTCTCTTTACTAGTTATGGGTCTATATAGATTTTTCTATTTCTTCATGATTCAGTGTTGGTAGGTTTTTGTCTTTTTAGGAATTTATCCATTTCATTTAGTTATCCAAATTGTTGGCATGAAATTATTCATAGTACTCTCATAATCTTTTTCATTTCTGTAAAGTTGGTAGTAATGTCCTCACTTTCATATTTTTCTTGATCAATTTAGCTAAAGGTTTGGCAATTTTGTTAATCTCTCCAAAGAACCAACTCTTGGTTTCATTGATATTTTTCTTTCTTTCTTTTTAAAGATTTTATTTATTTATTTTACAGAGAGAGAGTTAGCGAGAGCAGAAACACAAGCAGGGAGAGTGGGAGAGAGAGAAGCATGCTTCCTGCGGAGCCGGAAGCCAGAAGCCGGAAGCCGGAAGCCTGATGCGGGGCTCGATCCCAGGACCCTGGGATCATGACCTGAGCCAAAGGCAGACGCTTAACGACTAAGCCACCCAGGCGCCCCTCATTGATATTTTTCTAATAGTTCCTTCCTTCTGCTAGCTTTGGGGTTAGTTCGTTCTTCTTTTTCTAGTTAAGGTGTAAAGCTAGGTTGTTGGTTTGAGATTTTTTTTTTTATTATTATAAGCATTTATAGCTGTGAATTCCCTCTTAGGAGGGAAAAATGTATAGAATATTTCCTATTTAAATTCACCATTATTTTTAATTGACTTTTACTCTGATTTTTATAATAGTTTTTCACTTGCTGAGAATCCTGATTTCTCACAATATTATTTTGAAACTATTTTAATGAAAAATAACACTCAAACAGTGAATATAAGTGTACGGCCTAATGGATGAGCACAAAGTGAAGATCTATGAAACATTGCCACCACCACAGAAGCCCCTCCGATGCTTATCATTTTCCCCCCCTCCCCTCTAATATAACTTGTAGCTTATTATCTAGACGTAACTTCTTTGAATTCCTTTATTTCTGCTCTGTGGGGTTTCTGTAATTGGTGTAAAAGCTGAAATTGCTTTCTTAAGTTTCTTTTCGTGTGTGTGTGTGTGTGTGTGTGTGTGTGTGTGTGTGAGAATGTGAATGTTGCTCATTTTTCCTTGATCTGTGGCAACATTTTTTTCTGGTGATTTTTTTTAAGATTTTATTTATTTATTTGAGAGAGAGAAAGAGCAAGAGAGTTCGTGCAAACATGAGCAGGGGGAGGGGCAGAGGGAGAAGGAGAAGTAGGTTCCATCCCAGGACCCCAGGATCATGACCTGAGCTGAAGGCAGATGCTTAACCGACTGAGCCACCCAGGCGCCCCCATTTTTTTTTTTTCCCTGAGATTGCAATCTTCAGTTTCTGTTGGTATTTTAGTATCTTTTATGGATACTGTATTTTTTTTTTTTTAAAGATTTTATTTATTTATTTGAAAGAGAGAATGAGAGAGAGAAAGCAGGAGAGGGGGGAGGGTCAGAGGGAGAAGCAGACTCCCTGCCAAGCAGGGAGCCCGATGCGGGACTCGATCCCGGACTCCAGGACCATGACCTGAGCTGAAGGCAGTCGCCCAACCAACTGAGCCACCCAGGCACCCTGGATACTGTATTTTTTACTTATGTTTTGGTTTTCATAGTTGAATGGATTGGTCTTTTCTGGACTGTCACAGTGGAGGAGTAGATGGGAGGTTATGGAGCAGTGGAGCCAGGAATAATGATTTTCAAGGGGCCCCAGTTTTTAGCTCAAGAGCTCTCTCTAATGCTACAGTGATGGACAACTTTAAAAAATATGATTCTTGGATCTTGTCCTGTTTCAAGAGGTTCTACCACCAGTCTCTTCTTTACTTCCCTTCACACCAGTCAGTCATCCAGGAATACTGCCTCTTGACTTCCAAGCCAATCTCCTACCCTTGTTAAAAGTCTGCCTCTTGGGGCACCTGGGTGGCTCAGTTCGTTAAGCGTCTGCCTTCAGCTCCGGTCATGATCCCAGTGTCCTGGGATTGAGCCCCCCATCGAGCCCGCGTCAGGCTCCCTGCTCAGCAGGAAGCCTGCTTCTCCCTCTCCCACTCCCCCTGCTCGTGTTCCCTCTCTCGCTGTGTCTCTCTCTGTCAAATAAATCAATAAAATCTTCCCAAAAAAAAAAAAAAAAGCCTGCCTCTTTTCGTCGCCTCCTCCAGTGTTTGATCTCAGACTTGTCCACAGCAGTTCCAACTCAGCTGAGACCCTCTTCTGTAAGTAAATATTTGCAGGTGTTTCTAAATTTTGCTAAAGCCATGACCCATCTGAACCCTCAAGTCTTCTTACTCTTGTGGCTTTCTGCACTTAGGCAGATTTTGGATGTTCTCACCCTCACACTTAAAGATAATCTTTGAAGGTTTTCTCAGAGTTTTGCTGAAGGTTAGGTTGTGGAATATTTTATTTGCTCTCTTCGTTGCTTTTTATGAAATAAACAAAATCATGACAAGGAGGAAAAATGGCATGAGTCACATTTAGGCTTCCACTGTGCTCCTTATCAGCTAGACTTGCAGCTTAGAAAGTCCAAACTGGAGAATGGTCGGGTGGCAGGATAATTCAGGCAAGAGATATTGGAGGCTGGATTAGGGTGGAGTCTGGAGATGGGAAGGAGGGACATGTGGAACTGGAGAATTTGAACTAGGGTGAATTTCACTTCTCTCTCTTCAAGGATACTGAGAAGTCAATGTCCATCTTGGACACAGCTCCACCTCCTAGACGCAGTGGAGGGCACACCTCTTGGAATGATGGCGCATCAGGCATTCAACACTTCCTTCAGTACACAGAGCTGGAGAGGATCCCCTTGGCCTTAGCTGAGGCACCCAGGCAGAATGCAAGTGAAATGGGGCCACAGTTCAGTATGTCACTGCCTGAGTGTGGTGTGAGCTACTGCTCCCAAGTGACTTGCACTCCTTCCCAGATGATTTACTGTGAGGGACTGCCTCCCTCCCAGCCAGGAATAATGATTTTCAAGGGGCCCCAGATGATGCCCTTAGGAGAGCCCAGTACTCCAGGGGTGGCTATGACCTTTGCTAGGAATCTAAGAATGGCCCCCAGTGGGCCGCCACTCTCAGCTCCCAGTGGAATCTCAATGACATCCCACATCAATGTGCCAACAATGCCTTATTCTGGTCCCCCAACAGTACGTTCTAATAGAGACTCTTTAACACCTAAAATGTTATTGGCCCCAACCATGCCTTCTATTGAGGCCCAGGCAATGCTCCCTTCTTTGACTCAGATGTTGCCCCCTAGAGAACCCCATGATTTTAGGATGAACCCAGCTGGGTCCCCATCATTTCTGGCTTTAGAATCCCAGGACTCTCTCAGCCAGCCAGGCTCCCAGGAAGACCCCTTACCCAAGCAGCCCATGCATGCTCCACAGAGAGCGGAGTGGAACTCCAGGGCCCAGGAAAGGGCTCTCAGGAGGAGATCCCCGGTTTCAAGGCCTTACTGCTGCCAATATGAAAGCTGCGGAAAAGCTTATACTAAGCGCTCCCACCTTGTGAGTCACCAACGCAAACACACAGGTGAATGAGGTGTCAGATAGGTGGGGTAGGGTTGGGTGGGGTAGAGGAGTCTCTGGGCTTTAGATCTGTGCTAGACCATTGGTTTGTAATGGCTTGGGATTAGCTTGTCGTCCTTCAAGCTTGGGGTCAAGCTATATTGGCCCCACCAATTTGCTTTCCCCCCATCCAGTGTGACCATGCCAAAATCATGGGGCTGCTGATTGTGTTGCCTCCTCACTACTTTCCCTTGGTTTTCCTTTGGTTTCTCAACCTTGATGGCTCTTCCTCAATAGAGTCAGACCCCTTCCTATGCACGTGCTGGCATATTCTTCTACTTAATTTCTTCTGTTCCTTGTCACCTCCCCACAGGTGAGAGGCCCTATAAATGCATGTGGGAAGGCTGTATATGGTCTTTCTTCCGTTCTGATGAGCTTGGACGACATACGCGGATACACACCAGATATCGACCACATAGATGTGATCAATGCGGCCGACAATTCATGAGATCTGATCATCTCAGGCAACACCAGAGGATTCATCAACGGGCACCAGGATCCCCAGACCCACAGGCCAACAATGGACAGATGGCTGGTCCTCCTGTTCCTGGTCTTTAGGCCAATCTCCTCTTCTCCTCATCTTGGCTTCTCTACCCAGATCTTGCCTGCCTCTGACCAGCTTGTCTTCAGTAGGTACAGGCTTAGATGAAGACAGAGAAAGTTTATGAGGTGGTGTTAAAGCCTGTATGAGCTCTGGACCCGGTCAGAGACTCCTCAAAACTGTCTTGCATGCCCTCACCTCTCTGGGGCCACCTACTTTTGCCAAGGTTGGCCGCATGGGAAACTGGAGGAAAGTAGAGATTGAGAGCTTTATCAAAAAGCTCTTTATCTTGTGTCACTCCCCAGCTTGAAACTCTTTAGTGACTCTCCTTTGCCTGCTACATAAAATCCAACTTCCTTATCTTGGTCTTCTATAGTTTCCAGAGCCAAACTATGTTTAAATCCTGAATTTACCACTTACTAGCCATGTGACCTTGGAAAAAGTGTTTGATCACTATGCCATGTTTCCTCATTTGGTAAATGAGAAAAACAGTATTGGACTGTTTTGGACACATCTTATGTACTGAATCAAATTCTCCCTGGCACTCATCAGCCACATGCCCAGAGATTGACTCTCCTCTAGCTTCCAGACTTGGTTGGAATGCCCCACTGCAGGGCATGGAATCTGGCATCTCAAGTTGCTATTAGCAACCCAGAAGTGTGGGGGAGTAAATGCTCCTGAGATAACATTTGACTAATGGGAGATGGGAGAGAATCGGGCAGATAAATACCTTCTTCCCTCGTTTTCCTCAATTGCTGCAAGGTACTGTTTCTCCAAACAGTTCCACCAATGGGGAAATCACCCAGGTAGCCATTGGACACACCTGCTGTGTTTCTTCAAGGCTTGTCATGAAGCAGGACCCAACTGTTATCACTTTACATTACCGTCAGTTCTTCCTTGCCTTGCTTCCCTTTTCTCACTCAGTGCCCTGGGTTTGCACCTCTCAAATAAAACATCAGTACTTAGTTCTTGTTTTAGGCGCTGTTTTCTAGGTGATCTGGGGGTGGAGTTCATTAGACTGGGGCAGAGAAGGACAAAGCCTATTGTAACTTCCTTTCCTCCCCTAACTGAGCCCAGGTACCTGGACTACCAAATACCAGGTTTTAAAGGCCCTGTCCTGCCCTTTTTCCTTCTATAGGGTAGAGAGCATAATGACTATCCTGGGTACTCAGATAGTTTTGAATCTCATTCCTGGACTTCTCAGCCAACCATTCCACTCACCAGCAAACTAACAGAAAGGAACTTGCCCAAACTCAGGTGGCAGAGCTGGGATCCCAATCAGAATCTCTCTATCCTAGAGATGATACCTTCTGCAGGTGTTGCCAAGCCCTGCCAGGTGATGGCCACAGAGAGATGAATCAGGTCTGGTTCCTGTGGCCAAGGGATCATCTTGGTCTAGGGGCTGACAAGTCCACCTAAGCGTGGTGGCCACAGAGAGCAGAAGCACCTAAACGGGAAGGTCAGAAAGGCTTTCTGGGGGAGGTCACCATTGAGCTCAGTGAGTATATGTAACATCTAGTAATCCCTTAAATGTTGGAATAAACTGAGCAGGTTAATGAAGAGAAAAGAATTCCAGATTCCTGGACCAACACAGCTGCTCAGAGAAGAGTCAACCAGCAAGCTTCCATTCATTTGACAAATGTTCTTTGAGCCCACTAAAAAGAGCATCGCTGCTGTGGGGACTCATGGTGGGGGGCACAGGGACAATGGAAAGGTGTGTCAGGGGAGAAAGACTTCTCAAGGAGGTGACTGAGTCAAACCTGAAGGACTCATGTGGGTTAGCCAGACCTCCATTTCCTGGATGTCTACCCTTGGTCATGTCCTATGTTGGACACTAAGGACACAGAGCATGACAGTGCCTTGCTGTGGGGCATTAAAACCACAGTTAAACATTCTGAAAGCACTCAGTTTTGTCAAAGAGAGGAGCCAAACCTCTGGGGGCTCAAATTTATTCTGGGCATTGTGGAAGTCCCACAGATGTGACGCCTGTCACCCCCATCCCCACCTGCACCCCCTCCTGCATGGCCACCTTGGTCTGTACCCCTAGTGGCCCCAGTGTACCTGGGCCAGGCATTCAGGTGCCTTCCACCCAAACTCTGAGTGAGAGGAGTGGATATGATAAATAAGGGCAGGGGGTACTCGATTGTGACCCAATGAGTGCCTTAAGTTTCTTTCCTTCCCACCTGGGCACTGGGTCCCTTCTGTGAAGCAGGACATCTCAAACTCAATGGGCCAGGGCTGTTCTCCATCCCCTGTGGCTCACACACATCCCTGCCGGTAGGGTCAGAAGGTCAGATTGCTTGTTAGAACATAAAAGAGAGGTCTGTTGGTGACCCATCACTTTCACCAAGGAATGGAACTGGGAGGAGCCAGAGTGGGCAGGGATGTGCCACATACACCACAGTGGGGGAGCAACATGGGCCGCTGTCCTTGTGGAGGTCACGATCTAGTGGAGAAGGGATGATAGACATGTACAGAGTGCAGTGAGGACAAATAACAGGGGCTTGCCTGTAATAGCACAAGGGGCTTAGGAAGGCATTCCCTCGGGAAATAGGTTTGAGCTCAGAGGTAAGGACTAACTAGGAGGCAGATAAGGAGGTGAGGAAGTTATTGGAAGAGAAAAAGGTTACAGGTTACCTTATGGCAGGCCATGGCTAAGCCTTTTCCAGTATTACCTTGTTCAACACCAGGCAGGATAGTGGGTGGGGTAAAGACCTTGTGGGCTCCCAAGTAAGATTAGATTTTGAATCCTGCCTCCCGTCATTTCCTGGCCATGTGGCCTCGGGGCAATTTACTTATCTCTGCATCAGATAGCAAGTGGGGCAAGATTGACACCTTCAAGCTGAAAAGAGAACTAGTCCTGTTTAAGAATGATTTCTTCTGCTTAAGAGAAAGGGAGTGTTCCAGGTGAGAGCGGAAGATGGCTCGGACAGGGTGTGGCAGTGTAGGTGGAAAGTAGCAGAAAGATTTAAGAGATAAAATCAACCTTGGTGATAGCTGGATTTGGTTGGGGAGGGAGTGGTCAAGGATAACTCCCAGGTTTATAGCTTGTGTTCTAAGTGACATGGAGGGAGAATGGATGAAGTTATTTTTCTATATTTTTATTGTTGATGTCTATCATGTGCAAAAAAGCTTATATACAACTTAAAGTAATAATTTATTTGTCCTTTATGCCACTTCAAAAAAAGCACACACTAATAGATTTGAAGCCTTTGTGCTCCCCTCTGACCACATTCCTCATCCTCCGCAGAGGTAACCACTGTCCTGAATTTTGGTGAATTTGTTTGTCTTTCTTTGTTTTTACCATATGTATATGTTCTTAAACCATATAGTGATTTGTTTTATGTGGTTTTGAACTTTGTTTATTCTGTTTGGGGCTCACTGAGTGTCTTCCATCTAAAGGTTTTAGTCTTAATAAAATTTGGAATTTTTTGGCCATGTTTTGTCAGTTTTTTGTCCCCCTCCCCTTCTCCTCTTGACACAGAATCTGCCCATGTTATAGACTGTTTGCTATCGTCCCACAGGCCACTGATGCTCAGTCCATTTTTTTTAGTCTTTCCTTTCTCATTTTAGATGTCTTTGTGCTAACTGATCTTTTCTTCTGCAGTGTAATCTGCTCTCAGTTTTTCAGATACTGTACTTTTCATCTCTAGAAATTCCATCTGGATCTTTTTAAAATTTTCTATTTCTCTCATTATCATGCTCATATTTTTCTCTCCCTCGAACATATGAAGCATAGTTAAAATAGCTGTTTTAATGTCCTCAGATGCTGGTTCCAACATGTTTGTCATTTCTGAGTCTGTAATGGTTGGTTTTTCTCTTTGATAATTGTCCTTATTTACCTGCTTCTTTGAATAGCTGATAATTTTGTACTGGATGCCAGACAATTGTGAATGTACATTGTTGGTTGCTGGATTTTGTTTTATTCCTTTACATATTGTTAGTTTTTATTTCTGGCATGCATTTTACTTTCTTAGAGTTAGTTGGATCTCTTTGAGCCTTACTTTTTTTCCTTAGGGAATTTTTATTTATATGAGACTTACAGTTTAAGCTTTTTTAGAACAGTCCCAGAACTGCATTTTTCCTGGGGCTAATTTAACCCCACTACTAAGGCAACATTCTGAGGATTCTTCCTGGTCTGTATCTTATGTTTTTGCATTCTAGTTGGTGAAAACAGACTATTTCCCATCTTGTGTGTGATCCAGGAATTGTTCTGCCTACTTTTCAGTGTTTTTTTTTTCTTAGTCTTGAGTAATTTCTTCTCATGCTTGATCAGTACTTAGTCAAAGACTCAAAGGGACACATCTCTGGATCTTGAGCCACCCAGGTACCCCCAATCTTTTTTTTTTTTTTTTTTTAGAGAGAGAGTATGAATGAGGGTGGGAGTGGTAGGGGCAGAGGGAATGGGAGAGAGAAAATCCCAAGCAGGCTCCATGGTCAATGTGGAGCCCAACATGGGGCTTGATCTCACCACCCTGAGATCATGACCTGAGCCAAAACCAAGAGTCCGACGCTTAACTGACTGAGCCACCCAGGCACCCCTCATTCTTTTTTTTTTTTTAATTGTAGTATAGTTTACACACAATGTTACATTAGTTTCAGGTGTACAACAGAGTGAATTGACAAGTCTATACATTATGCCAGCTTGTGTGTGTTTTTATGTGTCTGTTGGCCATTTGTGTATCTTCTTTAGAAAAATGTCTATTTCGTTTCTCTGCCCATTTTTAAATCATTATTTGTTTTTCTCCTGTTGAGTTGTAAGTTCTTTATATATTTTGGATATTAATCCTTTATTAGATAATATAATTTGCAAATATCTGGGAGAATTATGTTTTTTAAATAGCACTGTAGTGAGATCCTAAGGTAGATGGGATGGGAGAATGAATCCTAAGGTAGGTGGATGGGAGAATGAATCCTAAGGTAGGTGGATGGGTTGGGATATCTTCACAAGGTAGAGATGTGGCAGGATGTGAAGGCAAGCAGAAGAGATAGCTTCTTGGAGGAGGTGGAGGATGTA